CTGCACTCACCACAGAGGCAGCTCTGCAGACCCTCAGACAAGGCCACTGCTTTTCCCTGTCCAGCCCTCAGTGTGATGAATCCTACCCTCAGAAGCCACAATTCAGCTTTGCATGTTGTGAGATTGACTATTCTTTTTTCCTTAAATTCAGGCTTCTTTCAGAATACCCCTAAAGTTTCTTGCTTCCAAACCTGGCCCATGGCATTTTAGGCTGGCTCTGTGCTGGTCACTAAGCACAGCACAGTAGTGATTTATCTGACCAGCCAGCCCTGCCAGCAGAGGAGACACATCCAAAGTGTTTGCTGTGCCATGATTCTCACTTCAACACCTCCAGAAACAGTAATATTGTACTTTTATTCAGCACCTGGTTGAGGAAAGCGCATCTCTAATAACCACCAAAATACAAAGGCAGTCAGATGTTTGCATTCTTCTTTCCACCCCTCTATCTCAAACTGCTCTAAGGATGCTTTATAAACCATGCTGAGGAATGGAGGGTCAACCACGGAAAAAAAAATGCAAGATAGGCTGTTTTATTTCTTCCTTCCTGAGAAGAGAGCAGCCTCCATTGAAGCGGGGAAACAGAAAATGAACATCTGAGGCAGTCATGCAAAATTTCAGACAGAGTGTGATTCTGTTTAATCACCTTCCATTTCCTCTTCACTCTTTAACTAAATAATAAATATGGAGTGGCTTTTTTCATTACCATGTAAACCATAACTGGTCCTGGAGAAAATACAAAAATAAGGGGTGAGCCTTGAAATCAGTGGGTTTCACTGATTTTAAATACAAGGCACCTGTGTACATTTCTAATCCAATAATTAATAATCCAGCACCTTTTTATCTTAGGAACTCTCAGGAGTAATTTTCACCTCTGAGTGTAGCACACATCGTAAATCCACTCCAAATGATTTTTAAATTTGTCCTTTCCAATTCCGGCTTGAATTGACATTTTGTTCTGGTTGAAGTGGCATCCACAGACACCTTCTCCACTGCAATTAGCTCAGATTAAGCAGTTGGAGAACCAGCACAGCAAAGATCAGAAGTGCTTATAGTCACTGATGCTTTGATCGTACTGAACAGCAGAACAGCAGTAGGCTGTAGTCTGTGACTTTAAAATGCATAAATAAATACATTTCTGAGACTGCTTTAAAATTATCCATAGCAGGCTGTGCCAGAAAGTGGACTGCATATTTTACTGCTGTCATGCAGCTTATGTGCTGGACTCTGTCTGCAGTTTCAGTGCAAAACTCACAGAGCCTCATCTTTTCCTTTGTTCAATATTTATATCTTCCTGTGCTACGTAACAACACGCTAAAAAAGAACTCAGTGTGTTCCAACTGTGGATCTGGATTTATTTAATCATTCGCAATCTGAAAGTGTTCAGAGCTTTGGGTTATTAGTGTTTTATATAAATGCCACAGATAATCTTTTGGAGCATGCATGCCAACTATCTCAGAGATGTGAGCAGTCTGAGACAGGCGGTACTGCACGAGGTTTTAATCACACCCTATTTGTTGAATTTAATAGCAGCTGAGCAGCTAAAACCCCTTATCAGAACTGTGGAAGTGTATGCTGGGGTGAGTGGACACCGGCCACAGCTGCCTGAATCCTATCAGCCAACGCCCTCTGCTCGGATGCACCCTGGGTAGAGTGTGCATGACAGGGAGCAAAGTTTGACACATGGCTGAGTTAATATGATAATTCGGAAACTGAGATGATCAGTGCACTTGCACACACTTCCTTGATGCTTTTAAAAACTTTATTGTTCAGTTTTTGGTACTTGCAGGCCAGGCCCAGAATGCTGTAAGAACCACCATACATGGAGTACTTTGGCTTTTATACTTCCTTTGGTCCTGAGAGAAACTGAGAAGAACAGATAGACAAATGAAAAATTAAATAAGCAAACCCCCCCATCAAACTCACAGAAGTCTTTCAGATTCCTCTCCCCAGAAATCTTTGGCTTTAAATTCTCCAAGTGCTCAAAAGTTTTTTGCAGGGCTGCTGCTATTTCTTCTCCTGAACTGGTTCCTCATCTCTGTCAGCATATTGTGGGATGCTTTGCCCCTCACTTAGGTAACATTTATATAGTGAAATCAAAGTTATGTAAATGATGGGCTGCTCATATTATACTGCAATGAGTAGAATTCCCTAACAGTTACATATCCTTTTTCATGTATGTGAAATGTGTGTGTATCAACATGGTGAACTGCCCAAAAAAGAGAGCAATCTAGGACATCAAGGCAGCTACAGGGGAGGGTCAGAGCAGGAGTGAGGAAGTAAGAAGAATGTTGAGAGATGGGAAATGGAGACAGAAAAGTGTAACAAGAGAAAATATTTTTCTTTAAAAAAAATGGAGAAAAAAACACTAAAAATTCATTTTATCCTGGGAGATTTCCAGCAGGCAGACTCCTGTGGTATATCTTTACTGAAAGAATAGCATCTGTTTTTCATAAATAGTTGTTGAGCAGTACCTTTAAATGAATTTGCATAAGAAGGAAGCATCATTATCTTCATTATACCTGTGGGAAAGCTTAGGAAAAGAGAACTGATTTGCTTAAAGTCGAACTTTCTACCAGACAAAACAGCAATAGCCTCTTGAGTCACTCTTCACTGCTTCCCTGGCAGAGATCTAGCTCTGCCCTGCCATCGGTTCGCAGGATGTGCAGACAAAGGCAAAGTGGTTGTGTTATACATTTCTCACTCTTGCTCAGCCAGATGTGTTTGCTAAGCAGAAGTGATTACTCTCTACTTTTGTTGCCCAATTTTCATGCTATCTTTTCGAAGACTCTGTAGTTTAATAATAAAAAATGCTGCTCACCACTGTTTCAAGTTTTTAAAAAATGTTTCCCCACAGAGTCTCAAGAAAAATATGGACCAGTTCCCAGATAGCTAATTCTGTCCAAAGAGCATCCTCTGAATGATACTGCAGTAAGCACCCCAGACAAGAGGGATATAGAAAGGATCAACACACACAGCCATGAAAGTGGTTTCCTGACAGTGTTGGCACAACCAGGAATTTTGAGAGTAGAGGGATCTAAGACATTTGTGAGACTTTGGCATTTTTGCTTACTGATTTTTTTATTTGCCCATTGGTTCTTCCCAGTTTACCTCATAACTGAAGTTTGAAAATCCACAATACTTCAAGTCTTGTGGTTACTGCAACGTCTCAGTTTGTAAGGTACTCTCTGACAGCTGGGCACAAGGCCCCTCCACATCCCTTACTGGGACATGGCTGCTGATGGAGATGGCAGTGCAACAACAACTCTTCCTCAAACTCAGATCCCATAGCAGCACAAACAGTATCTGCAAATATTTTGGAAATGATGGAGCCTGAGTTTAGGTGGAAAGCAGTTTGGGCCATGGCCAACCAATCTATTTGATATCTGGTCCAGCCCCCTACTGGCACGCACATCCCCATCTTAAATTTAAAAAAATCAGGAAGGAAGTGAAGAGGCAATGATCAACTGGTGGGTACCCTGCTGCCCGTCTGCTGGCAGGTCACAGCTGACTCTGCTGTTCTACATATGTTTGCTGCCTCTGTTAATCCCAACAGGCTGAAGCAATTTATTTTTCCATTCCCTTTTTGCAAACCATCCATTGGCAGCAGCCAAAGTCAATCCATTGCTTCCATCAGAGCTCACAGCGCAGACAATAGCCATACAAAGCAAAGACAGCACAAAGATGACAGAGGGAAGGAGTGGGTGGCTGGGGGTCATGCACAGAGACACCTGCTCGTGGCCAGAGGTTCCATCAGCCCCCTCTAACACACTGGTGTTACTCAGTGCCAGGAATGCAGGTAGCCCCATGGGTCACTGAGGAGCATCACCTTTAGCTGAGGAGCATCACCTTCACATGCAGAAACCTTCTGGTGCAGCTGCGGGGGAAGGCATGGAAAAATACACTGAACGGCTGGAAATATGGGCAAAAGCCTCAGGTCCGTAGAAGCAGATCTCCTTTTCCTCAAGCACACAGAAAAGGCCATCATGTACTGTCTTGCATTATTGTCCTTTGGGCTAGAGGGAAACTGAAAGGTCTGCTTCAGGGAGAAGTTGTCCTCCAATGAAATCCTCTGAGGCTAAGGTGGTGAGCAGACCCATTGAATTTCTTCACTGTTCCTTGCTGTTCTCTTAAAATCCAAATAGCCAGGGGTAAAGTAGCAGTGTAAGGAGGGTAAGAGTGATTTTTATCATGAACTTCAGTTTTTCTCTTTTCATAAAAATGAAGGTGAAGTGCTTTTGAAATGTCATTATCTTCTGTACTTACTGCATATCTGCAGGACTCAGTTCCTTGCAGAGCAGGACAAGTGCATAAGCTGCCCTGTGACATCCCAGAGGTAGCTGCCTTGCACTCAAATATATAATATCACTGAAGTGATAAAAGGTATGACACAAGGCAGGAGGGTACATCATTTCAGGTAGACTGCAGAAAGTATTTCAGCGAGCAGTGAATAACTAGCAACTTTTGATTTGCTTTTGATCCAGAGTATAAACCTTTAGCTTTTCAGAATTTTCAAAGAAATTTTGTGATAAAAAATCAAAACCTCAGTTCTGAAATTATTCAGGAAATGTCACTGATTATCGCAGTGGAGTATTGGGCTGGTCAGCATCATGCAGCTGAGTCTTTGATGACACTCATTGAACCAAGCTTTTCCAAATATTACCCCATCACAGACCACTCCTAAACCAAGAAATTGTACTGATTCTTTAAAAAACAAAGCTTCTCTGTTCTTTTTAAACATATAAGGGAAATAGAAGGGGAATGTGAGCTCTGCGTGTGCTGTGTGTAAGTTTTAATTGATGTGAAAAGACAACTATGCTAGGGAGCACCTTCTTTTCTGCACTGTGCTGCTTTCATGGGCTGTAATCTCATCTAATTTTGCATCCAATTTAAAGGACCTCCACGGGTGGTTCTGCAAATGCAAACTATGGCATGAACACAGTCTCTCAGGTTCTCTCTAAAAAATATTTAGTTACTGTCACTCCTGTGTTTATTTTGCCCAGTGAACAGCAGCAAGCACATAGTGAGAAAATACCGTGGGCACCTCCGAACGAAGATCGAGTCTGGGGAAGGAACCATACCTGTCCGGTGTCACAACGCAGCTCAGACGTGGGACGGGGTGTTGCTGGGAGAGCAGCTCATCACCATGTCCTGCACAGACAAAATCGCCAGGTACGTGACACATAATGCAAAAGTCTTTACACGTGGAAATGAAGTTTGATGCCAAAGAGGACTGTGGAGACTGGTGGGGAATATCTAGCAGGTGCTGACAAGCCCTGTGGAAACAAAAACCTCCTTTGTATGCAAAAACAGACCATATAAACAGGACGGAATGTAAATAGGACATTTTCCCAAATTCTCTGTGGGTCGTTAGTCGCTTATTACAGTGTGACAAAAATATAAACTGTCTTTGCAGCTTTTTTTGCCAATAGAATTTCACTGTGCAAATAAAATACGTCCAACTCTGCTGTTCTTGGATCATTTACCCCAAAACTTGCAAACCAACCATCACACAGATGAACGTAGCTCGTTTGTACCCAATTGGATAAAGTGTCCTAAAAGCTGCTAGGAATATTCCTATTATTTCAAATGTCATTGCAGAACTCTCATGTCACAGCCCCCTCTGCAAGTTTCTGTTCTGTCCTGTAAATACAACACATATTTATGTAAATAATTTCCATACAATAAATATTTCATAATTATTCCATGGTGGCACATAAAATGTAGATACGTTCACCATTGTCAACTTAGGATGTTAGCTAATGGTAAATGATGGCTATCATAAACCGAAATAAAAGTGTGTGCTCCTGGATGCTTACTTATTGCACTATTAGTATATATCTATACATGCATGCATACTTATGCTCATAATTATATACATATTAAGTGCAGTAGCCATAGATGTTCACATGATCTACATGTAAAATATATCAAACTATAGCTATAAAAATGTAAATGCTATGATCAAATTTTCTGCTGAAATATCACGCCTAAGAATTCAGTTAAATCATATCAGCCAAGAATTTGGCCCAATTACTAAAGGCCAATATAAACATAATCTTTTAAAAAAGTATAAATCTTTTGTTTAATGCAAATGCATAAATTCTGCTCTTTGCTTTAACTAGATGACCTACTGAAGCTAAATTAGTCTGCTGGCTTAGCAATGCCTGCCATTTTGGCATAAAAATGTAGGAGCAAACCAACAAATGGAAATACTACCACAACCACAAAATTCACCCTCTGCTAAGTGTAATCATCACAACTGTTATGTTTAAATGAAGGATAAAGAGCTACTTCTGCTGTAATGTTTTCATTTATTCATGAGGAGATAACAGGAAACCCAAACTGTATTCAGTGGATGTCCTGCACTGGATTTAAGTGCAGCTGGGTTTTCCAAATTCAGAATCATATGGACTCAAAAAACTAAACAAATTTAAGTTCAAGAACAGAAATACTGCATTCTCTGTGGTTTTGAATTACATTAGCTAGTGAATTATATATGAGCTTTGCAAGCACTAATACATTTGCTATTGATGGGGATGGTGACAATAATGCACAGTCTCAGGAGCTGGGTTTTCTCCAAGCACATCTGCTAAGAACTTTCAGTGAATCCTTTCCTTGTTGCCGCACATCTGAACAGTATTAAAGCTGTGAAGAAAAAAAGAATCTGCACAAAGATTTTGCAAGATAAAAAAAAAATCTCACAGCTCTCATCATTAATATTATTATTTCATAATTGTACAAATTACTGCAATTTTTATTATTTATTTGCACTGTAATTCAAATGAGCTTGGATTTGTCTTAAACCAAAAGCCTTATTATTATTCCCTGCTTCTAACAGCAAATGTTTACTCTCACCAGTAAGGGCCAGTTAAAAAGAGGCTGAGAAGAGGGGATATGCCATCTGCATTATGCTTTACCCGAAATTTCAGTTTACCACATTAAATGCCATCTATGATAATTTTTTACCATTAGTATCCTCCCCTGTAAGGTTTCCCACTCCTGCCCCACTGAAGAGATCAATAGTTGGCTTCTGTGCCACACTTCAGACACCAAATATTTGCCCTACCACGTAGGTAGCTGACTCTTCAAATGTCTGCAGGATGGAGGAATCTGGTTGCACATCATCTGGGCTTGTCTTGCGATGAGAAAAAAAGAGATCTCTGAAGCTGAAATTCATGTTTGTATAAGTGAGATTTGACTAAAAATCTGGCTTGTATACTTTGGATTTTATTACTTGTAAAAGTCCCTCAGGAGCACTGGGCTATTAGAGAATGCTTCCTCTTGAGAATCTAGCCAGTAGCTGCTAAAATATACATCATTTTGCATTATTTGCAAAGGACATTGCTATCAGAATATCAAAGACCCAAGAACATAGAGAGTTACTGAGAAAATCTAATAATATTCTATAAATCACATATCTAACAATTTATGTTCTTTCTTGCTCACAGGATAGCTATAATCACAGAGTAGTTTAATCAGATTTATTTGTTATTCAAAGACATTTAGCAATTTTTATTACTATCACCACGAGTTCGAGAGAATTTGATGCTTGATATGCATTATTTGTGTTCTGTGGTTTTGTTGATACAGGCTGGTATCATACCTGTTCTCTCACTGAATTAAAGCACAAACCCTTCTGGCATGAATAGTCATGTTATTTGGCTCAGGCGGGGAATTCCAAGGTGAAATTCTGCGGCTGCATTATAAAGGAGGTCAGACTAGATCTTGGTAGTTTCTTCTGGCTTTAAAACCTATGCATTTATATGTGTAAAATTAAATTTTGGGCTCTGTGAATCCCTAAACAACCCTAAGAGAGCGTCAGATTTACACTCACAACTGCTGTGAGTCTCACAGTGCAGCTGAAGTGAGTTCAGCCTCTCAGTACCACAGAATTTAGTATTAAACCACATTCTTTAGACCCATATTTCATTAATTACGCTAACACCTTTGACCTCCATTTTCCTCTGTAATGTATACATTTGTGAAAAAGCAGCAATAACATAGGAAAAATAATTTTGAAAATTATTATCTGGGGGTAAATTTATGTCGTTTAACATTTTCTTGATGCTAATCATAACCTATATTAAAATCTTTATGTCAACAGAGACATTACAGCCCTAGGGGAGTTTAGGCTTTTTGTGACAACAAACCCATTCAATGGGCCAAATTAAACCCCCTTTCATCTAAGGATGGACGCAGGAGCAGTTCATACCTTGCTTATTAGAAGGTCAGTGCAAGGTTAATGCTGCTGTTGCTGATGAAGTCTCTGCAGTTGCTATTTGGGAGCAGACAAATGTTTGAAGGAAAATTTTCATATGCACAGGCATACCACACACACAAGCACACGCATCTAGGGGGGAAAACAGACGTCTCTAGAGCTCAGATCCTCTTTGAAGATCTAAACAATCTAAACACAATAACCAAACACTAGGAAGCAGCAGCACTACATTCTTTCTCTGATCCTCCAAAACTTTCAGGACTGATTTGTGCACAGATTTCTGCCAGCTTCAGGGGTGGCACGTGCAGCACATCCTGGGGTCTCAGGGACACTGGTTCTCTGTGTACCCTTCAGTGACATAGTCTCCAGATACACAAAGCCTGCCCATCTCTGAGCCTCTCCTCCCTGCTGCACAGCCATGCTGCCTTCCCACAGCACACAGTGTGTATGTGTATGCCAGATTTGCAGGTGACAGTTCACACAGTCAAATGATTGCGTATATAAAATAATAATTTCCAAATATCTCCACTTCTTATTCCTAAATCAGAAGAAATATGAAAGACTGGACAAAATATCAAAGATCTTAGCGCTTCTTCTAATTCCATCACCCCTCTTGACTGCTTGTAGATGAAATTCAGAGTCTGTCACAGAGTAGAGAAACCATTTTCCCTTCCATATGCTTTGTGCTCTGACTCAGGGGAACACTGTCTGAGCTTCAGGTTGGTCTCCTTCCACCATGGCTCATCCTCCAGGCCCACCATGCCCTGAATTTGACAGCACACATCTCCATTCTGTATAAACCTTCCTGTTCTGTGCTCTTCTATGCTCATTGGGTTTATTCATCTCATCACCAGCACCTGGGTCCCTTCTTCTTCCATGCAGAAAACTGGAGAAATTCCCTCTCCCACTGTCAAGCAACCCAAAACAGCAAGTGGTTCTCCTCTGCATAGCTGCACAGAAAGGTTTAGTGATTGCCATTGCCTGTGGTTTGGTAGGGAAATTGCAGAAGTGCTGGGAGCACACAAAGGCCACTACAGCCCTCCATAGCACAGCAGACCCATGGCACAAACAGGAATTTCCAGGTCCCATGTCACCACGTCAACTCCACTACCATGTGCGCAAATAATTTTGAGGATCTTGGTGCAAGTATTTAGCACTAAGGATTAATCTAAAAATTAGTTCTTGTCTGGTGTCCCAGAGTTCTGCATTGCACTGCTCTTACCCAAACCTTCTTCCTTGACAGACCTTAGCGAGGGGACTGGCAACCTCATGCTATGGTCAGGGCAGAGCACATTCACATTCACTGGATGTCTAGCTGGTGTATTTACTTTGGAGAGAGGCCAGCCTTCTGTGCAGCAAACTTGCATCTTACACACTAGCAGTGTGTAAACTTATTTGTAAATGCATGAAAAGTGACATTTGTCCTCTTTCAAAAGTCCCCTGACAGCATGCGGGCTGAGGAATGTGCTTTGTGTATTGCAGGATTTGAAGGGAACTATCCTCCCAAACACTGTCTTTATACAGCAGATAAAAGCCAGGATTCAGTGTTTATTTTGTAAGCTCCGGCCTTAAAATTGTTCTCTTACTACCGCTTCTCAAAAGGTCACCTTTAAAAGACTGTGTATTTTCTTGCCACCAGGTTAATGGTCATCCACTTCCTCATACCACACAAAAAAGTGACATTAAGCCCGGAAGTCAAATAAGACCTTGAACATCTAAATTATACCTCACCTACAAAACAAAACAAACAGTAACAATGGACCTCCAAACTTTGCCTTACAGCATGAGCAGTCTATCCATGTCCCATGGCTAAGGTTTGTGGATTATTTGAACCCACAAGCTAGAGAATAGGAAGGAATTTTTCTTGAGAATATGTTCAGAGTACGGCAAGGTAATGTAGCCTTAAGGCACCGTTTCAGGAGTTAGCAGTGGGAGTCTGAAGTAACATTTT